GGTAGAGGAGGATGAGTTGCCATTGACATTGGTGGCAGAGGAGGTGGAGGAATGCTTGCCGGAGGGAAACCACTCGAAGGGGGTGGTGGAACTGGGGGTGGCGGAGGATGACCCATCGGAGGTCCCGGTGTCGACGGTGGTGGCGGCGGTGGGACCACCATTCCGTGATGCATCACGTGATGTTGAGGATGATGAGTTGGTTGATGAGCCGCCGAGCTTGAATTCGGCATAGGAGGAGGCGCCAATGGGGGCGCGTCCGCGAAAAGTTGATGAGGCCTGTCCGCTTGACTCAGAGGATTCTGAGCGGCTAGTAATCGCTCGGCTGCGCTACCGTGTCTCTCTCCCTTGGCGTCGCGTTTAAACGCATACGACACAGAGATGGGTCTGTTGCACAGATATTGACCGTTCATCGCTTCTATGCTGGCATCCGATGCGTCGAACGAGGCAAAGTTTATAAACGCGAAACCCTTCGAGTTTCCTGTTTCTGGATCTCTCATTATCTGGAACAGAAATATCCTTGATTACGTGTTCTAACGACGGCTCTCGGTAAAAGTATTTTAATGGACATTACCTTTGGCGTTTGAAGAATTACCCCAAATGCACTGAAAGTATCGTACAATAGCTTTTCGTCCACTTCTGGATCAAGATTTCCAATAAATATATTAGCTCCAACATCTAGATTCTTCTGATGGGCGCTCGCTTTGTTCACTCTGATTGGTTTTCCATACAACTTTATCATGTTCATGATTTTGATAGCGTAATCCGCGTCTTCTTCTCCCATGAATTCGACGAATCCATATCCCTGGTGCATTTGAGTCACCCTGTCTTTAGGCATGTGAACGTTAACTGAAAAATTCAAATATTGTGGGTCAATATTATTAAGCAATCGACGAACAAATAATACTAGTTACCTACCCACTGGTCCCGACTGCACAAATAGTTCCCACATAAGGGATTCTGTAACTTTGTCATCCAACCCACCGACATATATCGTAGCATCTGGAAAAATGAAATAGTTTACGAGTTGATCGATAATCATACGAAAATGTGCAACTCCTAAATTATAATATGTTTGTGTATACATATATATATATATATATATATATATATATATATGTGTGTATACGTACATAACCTAGTACGACTTATACTTTTTTGTTCCTATTCGTTACAAAAAGATAATTTAAGAAATTAAAGTGTGCATAATGAAATAGCAAAAGTTAAACATGTTTGTAAAATCATACAATACGTATTACAAATATTAAATATACCTTGATTACGTTCGGCAATGGGGCCGGCCGCCATAGTTACTCGTTAATTTACCAGCCTGGATTGGATTTGTATCAAGTATAAATTGGTAACACTGACATCCCAAGTGTTACTAGAAGAATCCTGTACTTGGCACTCATTGGACGTAAAATCATCCACCAAATAAACTCTGGATGTAAGACGAGAAAACAGTTTTATTTCAACAAATATTTATATAAACACAAAATAAGATTTTTTACAACAATGCATAATAATTCTTATATCTAGGATTTCTTAAATAAAAATATAGCAGTTTGGTCATATTATTGCACCGCAAGATATGTTTATGTAGCACTTGTTCCTGGAGTTTCTTGGGTTGCTGCAAATAAATATTTCATTAAACATACGTATGTTTGTACTAAAAGTAAAAGAACAATCAAACACCTTTATAAGAGTACTCCAATGCTGTTGCTATAGTCCTCATGTCTCCCTCTATGCTACGTGCCCAATTTTCAGCATCCCCAATTTCTTTGAGCGCGCTTGAAAATGATTCCACCAAATTCAACCAGGACTGTGTCTGTTTAGCAAAATTTGTTGCACTGTGTTGCAACTGTTTAGCTTCTGCATCCAGTTTCTTCTGATTAAGATATGCCTGGGCCACCCTACGTAAAAAGTATTTACCCGATACAACATCATAATAGACTATAAATCAAAGGACACCCAATGCTTACCCTACATTTAAATGATCAACCAAAGCTTGCGTCAAGTTGCTCGCAGCTTGAACAGCATCTTTTCTCTTCTGTTCTGTCAAGATAACATTACCATTAACACGACTCTCGATGATTCTACCCGACTCATTCGCGTATATAAGAGTTTTTGCGAGTTACCTTGCCTCTCTTTCCTTGCCGCCTGTTTACTTTGATGCTCTTTTACAATGGCAGATAACATATTTATCGATAAAGAAAAACGAACAGTTCGTTAGACTGCCCGCAGGTTACATTTATAGTAAATAAGTCTGGTTCTTTATCAGAAATGTATAGTTGTCACTATGCTATAGGCGGGGGTATTGTTCAAGTTTAGATGTACATTCATTTCCGAATGATACAGTTGGACAAGTTACAACTGTTGCTCGCATATTAGCTTGTTTATTGATCTTAGGTAAAATGTGAGTACGTGAAATCTGGTAATTCGATATTTCATTCGAGTGGTGGACCTCCTATGAACGTTACTTAAAACACTATATCGGCGACTAGTGTCCCAAGCGTATGTCTCCGAGTGGACGGCATCCCCTTAAAGGCAGAGCCGAAAAAGAAGGCTGAAAATATTCCAGGAGTGCGAGTTCTAATAATAAATAATGTGTCATCTATTCAGCCAAGGATTGGACAAAATTGCAGAAAAAACAAGCACTTCTAGTGGCACACTTCCCCAGAGAATAGTGTTCCCCAGCAGATGGCGGTGGCCGAGGTTTTTTAAGTTCTGATATACGGAATAACGAGTATGGCGACCAGTTCTCGTTGGTGTAAAGTTTACCTGTTGATAATCGAATCGAATTCAGTCCGTAGGAGAACCATAGAATTACTTGGACTATAACGAGGCGAACCGCCTCCGGCAAACTCCTCGTTCGACACCCTATTCTGTTCTAATGAGGTGGTTAACACTTTCATACAGAACAAGTGTAACCAAACGATGCACCAGAATCTCAAGAGTACGAAAATTAGGAGAGAAGTGCTGTCATTGCTTGCACATCTAGCATAAGTTGCCGGACGATGGTTTTCAGCGTCACAAATGCTCTGTGATGGACCTGATAGTTAAGGATTCGCCAGTGTTTTCATTCACGTTCACAGAGATAAATAAAAATGTAATGTAAATCTCTCTGTTTACCCGCGGCAATTAACACCCTCTGTATTCTTTGGAGAAGAACATTTGGAAAATTTCATATCAGAGAATGGCAATTCGCATCACATTAGAATGCGGCCACTCATCCACATTACGTATGCGCACCACATCCCAGGGTTACACTCATGATTGGGAAGTATTCGTGCGGGGTGTTGATAACGCTGACATACATCATTATGTTGAGAAAGGTAACTATACAATTAGACGGTCCCTGCCTGTCCTCCGATGTCCAGCGTACATTCCGCTAATAACGTTCTCGCTCGTTACATTCCAGTGGTTTTTCAACTGCACGAAACATTTTCAAAACCAAAGAGGGTATTAAAAGAACCACCGTTCGAGATAAGAGAGTCCGGTTATGCTGGCTTCGAAATTCCCATTCATATCTATTTGAAAAACAAAGATGAGGGAACCAAAAAGATTGAACTTTTGTACGATCTCCACTTACAGACCAGTGGCCCTGCTATCACGAATGTGATGCGGCACACTGAAATCTTAAACAACCCCTCTGATGAGTTTAGGAGGAAATTACTGAAGGGTGGTGGTGTAAGTATGCGTCTTTCCATTCCACATAAATCTGTTTCAGTTTGCAGTTTAGGAAAATTGAACTGACGCGAGAAACGTTTACTCCGATAGGTCGTAGTGTCGAATTCCGAGAGTTCAGCCGAGAAAAGCGAAAGCAAAACACCAGCTATGGTCGGCAAACCAAAATTGAGCGGGAGCGAGACGAAAAAGCACAAAACCGTCGAGTCAAAGACATCGAACTCGTTCGCTGAACTGTTCGGAACGCCCTTAAAGCCCACGAAAGTATCCCAAGACACGAAAAAGCCAGCACAGCCGGAGAAATCATCCGCCCCCA